GGCAGAAAGTATAGGCGAGGTGACCAAAGCAAGATTAGGATGCTGTACTGAGAAAACGTACCAAGCCACGTGTCTAAACATAGATAAGAATTATGGGTTAAGTGTAAGAGTTAGTAAGAAGCCTGAGCTACTGGCCAAGCATTTATAAGTAATATTAAGTCTCCAAGTCAATTATTTGGGAAGCGGCTGCTGGGTATTTGGGAGTTGCTGGTGGGACAGAAACTTCCATTTACATATGGCAACCAAACATTCAGTAAGAATTTCTACACATTGTCGGGCAGTGGTGGCGCACGCCTTTAATCCCAGCACTTGGGAGGCAGAGGCAGGCGGATCTCTGTGAGTTCGAGGCCAGCCTGGTCTACAGAGTGAGATCCAGGAAAGGCGCAAAGCTACACGGAGAAACCCTGTCTCAAAAAACCACAAAAAAAAAAAAAAGAAAAAAAAATTTCTACACATAAAGCTTGAAAAAGCTTTAAAAAGGATTCTACACACATAAAAATGGCATCAAACTTGGCTTCTTGGTAATCGTCTTTTCTCCAATAGGCTCTGTTTACTGGCAGTGAGCAGAGGCATGGCTCCTTTAAGAGATGGCTTCCTGACTCCTAGACAACTGGCAAAAAACACATGGCTCTTTTAAGAGGCCCTGCTACCAAACACTTAAAGAGCAGCAGGTGATGAACTACTCGGTGGCAGCATGGACCCAAAAACTCCCCAGAGTTGGTGTGTTAAATGTGGCTCCTGCCAGCACCTCCACCATGGAGCTAAGCACTCAGAACCAAGGAATGGGCAGAACCAGTCACCAAAGCTGCAGCTTTGGTCCTAGCCAAGCATGATTAGCAGATTAAAGACTTATGTGGTCAGAAAAAGACAGAGATATGCAGTAAAGACAGATTCAGATAAAAAAAAAAACACTCTAAAGAGTTTACAGTATGTTTAGAAATATACATAGGCTTGGGAGAGTAAAGAGAAGGTATAGACAGTCATAAAAAATATTTTTATATAAAAATATAGTTTTAAAATAATAAAGTCCTTAAAAAGGGAGTAAAGTAATATTTAAAAAAAATCATGTAAAGATGGAAAACACACAGAGTCTGGATACTGTATGTTATTGTGTTGTCTTTGAATTGTTTGGCAGCTAAGGAGCAACAGCTGCTAAGAAACATTTGATTATAAATGTTGCTGGATTAATCCAACCTATATATTTAGAAAATAGGTTGACTTCAAAATTTAAGTCAAAAGATATGTTACTTTGGAGAAGAGTTATGCTTTTATTTCCACAGGAAATGAGAGGCTCTGGATTCATTCTGGGTTTAGAAAAATCAGGTTTGCTCCAGGAAGATCCCCTGAAAAATCTCCAATGGGAAACAGATGGCCCAGATGATCCAATGTTTCATAGTGCTTCTGTTACAGTTTCCTTTGAGTTCTGCATCCAGAAAGGCTTCAAGGCTACTGGCTGAGATGATCCAGCCTCACACAATTCTCCAGTCAAGACTTAACCATTATTCTGAATTTTTCTCAGGGTCCCCTAAAGATTACCAGTGTCCCCAATCAGTAGGAAGTAGTCTATAGAACTATGCCCACATTCCCAAAAATGAATTATGGACAGTTGTCATTGTTTAGGGAGGTTGGTTATAAGCTGTTATGGATAATGATCAGGGAAAAAGCTAAACAAAGGAGATTAGATTCAAGGATCTTGTTTTGAAGAGAAGAAGAGGGGACATAGAAATGAGAAGATAAAAGGGTGGATTATTGAATCCACCTTAATAAAAAGAACAACTATTAATCTTATATATTTTACATTGATATGGATTTTGCTTTATTGGTATAAATTTAAAGTTAATTTTGTTATACTTTATGTATATTTTACTTTTGTTTAGGGTATTATGTTTATACAGCTCATTTGAAAATGTAATATATAATTAAGAACTACAGATTAATAGTCATCTATAATAGCAAACTTGGAGTTATGTTAGGTTTCCAAGGTCATACAGAGATATATTTCAGGTAGATAGGCAATCTTCAAACACTTCAAAGACCTATAGAATATGGCATTTAAAATGTTTTAAGGCCAGGCAGTGGTGGTGCACGCCTTTAATCTCAGCACTCAGGAGGCAGAGGCAGGTGGATCTCTTTGAGTTCCAGGCCAGCCTGGGCTACAGAGTGAGTTCCAGGAAAGGTGCAAAGCTACACAGAGAAACTCTGTCTCAAAAAACAAAACAACAACTAAAAAATGTTTTAAGAACTTAGGCTTTTCATGACAATAAGATATGTCTGCTCCTGACAGCACCAATCTACTTCATTGAAGAAACACCATATGGAGTTTGTTTTCTTTATGGCAAAAGGTAGCTATGCGGGCAAAGAAATGGCCCTTGCCTCAATTGCTGACAATTACTGTCCAAACTGGACCAGCAGGACACAAGAAAGGCAACTGCCTGACTTTGCCAAGACAAGGTAGAACAATCTTTCAAAATTCCCTGCTTCACAGAAAAGTCTGTCAGATATTCTAGGCCTGTGAGCCAGAGTTGGATGCTCTCAATGTTACAGAGGACCTTTGGGTGACTGTTCAGGCAGCTTGAGGTCCCTGTCATTAGGTAACATTTCACTCTTTGGGGTCTTTGATGGAGTTGAAGACTAAATAGTTATAATTATAGTTTTCCTTAGTTATACTAGAAAGTAAATTAGATACAAAACTTTAGACTCACCAAGATAGATAATTAAGTATTTTCTTTAATTTTGCCAAATGCAAATGGATTAGTGCTACTGTAATTCTTACTTAATAACTGTTTTGTTGTATATAATCTTACTATGTTAAAGTTAAAACCTTTCTTTTTAATTAGACAAAAAGGGGGAAATGCTGTGTGTTAATCCTTTTGTACACTGTAAAGATTTGTCATTCTGATTGGTTTAATAAAACACTGACTGGTCAGTAGCCAGGCAGGAAGTATAGGCAGGGTGACCAAACTGAGTATTCTGGAAAGAGGAAGGGCAGAGTCAGGAGTCACCAGCCAGATGCAGATGAAGCAAGATGAGGATGCTGTACTGAGAAAAGGTACCAAACCACATGGCTAAACATAGATAAGAATTATGGGTTAATTTAAATGTAAGAGTTAGTTAATAATAAGCCTGAGCTACCAGCTGAGCATTTATAAGTAATATTAAGCCGCCAAGTCAATTATTTGGGAAGCAACTTCTGGGTTTTGGGAGTTGCTGGTAGCACAGAAACTTCCATTTACAGGAGGGTGCCAGATTCTGTTTCCAGTCTTTCCCCTTTCTGACTCCCCATGTTCTCAAAGCCCTCTGCTTCTCCATATGGTGAGGGACGTCATTGTCTACCCCATTTTTGTTCTCTAGGTGCCCTGTGGGTAGGCACTCAACCCATCCATCTCTCTAGTCCCCAGAGACCAGGCCAGTATATAACTCACAGTAGGTGCCAAATGTGTGCTGAGTATAGGAGGGCTGGCTATCCGTCTTAACTTTACTGTTTATAACTTGGATAAAAGCTGCCTATTCGGCCCCTCTTGCCCCCTTGGCTTCCCTTGGAAGTCCTTTCCTTATGCCGTCATCCTCTTAGGGTGATCTTTACAGTCACCCACCTTTGTCTTCTCAGCACCACCTGCTGCCTCTGCCCTCCATTCCTGGAAGTGTCTTCACCCACTAGCAAACATATCTTAAAAGATGCCTCTACCCACAGGCCCGCAGCAACCCTTAGATTCCTGGGGCTTTACTGCCTCACAGCCTCTGCATTACAGACGCTCAGGCAATGGGTTTCAATGTTCACACCTTTTCTCCCCTGGTGTCCAAGGTGAAGTCTACTGAAGATGAGCCAGCCCTGCAGTGCTCAGGTAAGACTTTGAAGAGCTGGTGCTGGGTTGCTTTGTTTGCCTCTTGTTTCTCTCCTGAGGCTGGGACACATTTCCACTCCTCCTCTTCGCTGTTCCTCATTCTAAGTGGCTCTCTTGCCTGGGTATCTGGTTCTATTTTATTTCATGAGCATTTGGTATTTTGCCTGCATGTATGTCCATGTGGGGACATCAGATCCCCTGGAATCAGAGACAGATAATTGTGAGCTGCCATGTGGTCACTGGGAATCGAACCCAGGTCCTCTAGAAGAGCAGCCAGTGCTCTTGACCACTCAGCCATCTCTCCAGCCCTGGACTATCTGGTTCTTGCTATCTTTCTGCACACTCTGTGTCTGTGGCAGCTCACAGCCCAGTTCCCCATTTCCTTTACCTCTCCCTCACTGGACCTGGCCCCTTCTCTCTGTTCCACTATGTCTACCCCGTGGTACCCTTTATGCCTGGCTTTCTTTGATATCCTAAATTCAAACATTCCAACTGCAGCCATCAGTCCTTCCATCTCACTCCTTTTTCCCACCAGTTAAACAGGATATAGAAGCCACCAAGACTGCTGTTCCACACCTTTCAATTTCCCCCAGTTAATCTTTGTGTTCCTGGCTTCTCATGCAAGCTCGATGCAGCCCAAGCTCGATGCAGCGCAAGCTCAGTGTATATAGTTCCAGGGCCTCCCTGATCTTCTGTGGTGTCTCCTTACCTCTTCTCCACATTATATCCTGTTCTTAACTGACCCACGTGCATCATTCTGGATGCTAAATATTACTGGAAATGTACATTAGAAGTCTTTGTGTATGTATGCATGTGAGCGCGCGTGTGCGCAGTGTGTGTGTGTGTGTGTGTGTGTGTGTGTGTGTGTGTGTGTGTGTGAATGCAGGTGCACACATGCCACAGCATGCATATAGAGGTCAAAGGACAACCTCTTTGTGTTCACTGCTGTGTGAGACAGACTAGCTGGCCTATAAGCTTCTGGGGATTCTCCTGTCTCTGCCTTGTATATCACCACAGGAATGCTGGGATTACCGGTGTGTGCCTCTGGTGCCTCTGGCATCTTGTCACAGGGGGTGGGGAAGTGGGGGGTGGGGGGTGGTGTTGCCCCACTCTTTATAGCCTCTGGTGCATTAGGCTGAATGGGGACACCCAGGTTACCTGCAAATCTCTCAGGGTGAGTCCGCAAAGTGTCCATGAGTCGGGACAAGGTTCGAAGTTCAGTCCAAACCTGGCTAAGATGCTGGATCTCTGGTGTGTCCATGAAGAGCTCTTGAAAATCTCTATACACTCTTGCCAAGCTATAGAAAGGAGAATGCCTTGTAAATAAATAAATAGCTATCATTTTTATAACAATACAGTTAACAGCCTTGTGCTATTTTTAAATTGCGTGCTTGACTTAGCATGGCCCCAATTTGATGGATATTTATAATTTCAACACTGACAGATGATGAGTGATTTGCTCAATATTTGAGTTGCAGGAGAGCAAGACGGCCTTGAACCCTGTGTTCTCTGAGTCTATTGTTCTGAGGATGTTGGAAGATACTACCAGTGAGTCTTCCCAGCCTTCACCCAGTTCTCTGGGTTCTCCACCACCCACCCTTAGGGATGGGACCCGGTGCCACGCTTCATCCACAAAGTCCACCCTGTGCATACCCATCAAGGCTGACTGGACAGGGAGAATGAAGGTGGGCAACAGGATGTTCAGTTTTGTGGGTTAAAAACCGCTCTGTGGGAGCCCCATCCCAAGATGCTTCCTCTCGAGGTCACTAACGACAGTGTAAGTGGAGGATTTGGAGTTCACTACTTTCTTCTAAGACGTAAACTTCACATTGCAAATATGACTTCCTGTTTCCCTGTGCTGCTCCTTGTCATTTCTCCCAGGCCTCGTCTAAAGAAGCCTGTGGAGGAGACGGAGATGGCTATGAGCAGCCTGTGGCGGAGCGTGAAGGAAGTCAGTTTTTCTTACACAGTACTTCCGCCTTCCAGAGGATGGGTGACCAGAGGAGGGGACACATCACAGCCTGGGCTGCTATTAGATTCTAGGTCACCTCTTGGGCACAAAGATGAAGCAATCGTGTCCATGTGGTTTAAGCTGGAAGGTTTTTCCCCAGGTGCCCTGCCATTAAGAGGCTATTAGGTAGGAAGTTGCCCCTCCCCCCCACCCCTTCAGAGCCCCTCCTCTGCAGGTGGGAGCACATACTGTGGCATAGGGGGAGTATGGGAGGGGGTGCAAGTTCTTTTCCTGTAGGTGGGGAATCTCAGCACTTACATGGAGTTGTTATAGTTTGACACAATTCCAGGAGATTCTCCCGGGGTGGGGTTTTGAAAACAAGGGTTGTTCAGATTGCAGAAAATCCCCTGGAGCCATGGTAACATTCCTGCTGAAGGCATTGCCTTGTTGGGAAAATGGCCTAAAGACAGAAAGTGAAGACAAGAAGGAATTATTCACAGAGGTCAAATAGGAAAGCATCTGCCTTCTCCGCTTGCTTATGAAACAGGAGCATCTAATACAGACTAGGCCTTGTGCTGTGTACCAGAGCTCCCTGACAGACAAGGAGACAGATGAATGTTCTAGAGCTCTCAATCTGTAGGATGTGACCTCTTTGGTGTTGAGCAATCTTTTCACAGGGGTCACCTAAGACCATAGGAAAACACAGATGTTTACAGTACAATTCATAACAGTAGCAAAATTACAGTTATGAAGTAGCCATGAAATAATTGTATGGTTGGGGGTCATCACAACATGAGGAATTATATTAAAGGGTCTTAGCGTCAGGAAGGTTGGAAACCTCTGTTCAAGGGGCTTAGATGGACATGTGGAGGGAAACTGAGGCTGGAAAATAAGTTTCTGGAGGAGGGCAAGGAGGTGGTGAGTTGGCAGGGTCAGAGGCTGTTGGTGATGAGAGGGGACAGGCCTGCTGAGTTCTTTCCATGGCAGGTGTGGAGGCTGTGTACTCCTGGGAGTGAGAGAAAGAAGCAAGGGCTTGCTGGACAGGAGGTGGGCAGAGCAGTGGAGGTTAGAAACTCAAGAGCAGGGAATGTAGCGGCTTTCATAACTCTTGATGTGTCCATGTCACCTGCCTAGAAGGAGAAGTCATCATCCTGGCCAGACACCACCACAGGAGACCTTCCAAGAAGGCTGCTCTACATACAAAGCAGGCTTGGAGATGCCTTGAAGCTCCAGGGAATAATATTTATTGAAGTATGATCTGTACTGTCCCTTCTCACTTCCCCCGCCTGGCACCATGTAAAACAAATCCCCTAAATCAGTCATGATAAAAAATAAGTTGGGTGGTAGTGGTGCACACCTTTAATCCTAGCACTTGGGAGGCAGAGGCAGGTAGATCTCTGTGAGTTTGAGGCCAGCCTGGTCTCCAGAGTGAATTCTAGGATAGCCAGGGCTACATAGAGAAACCCTGTCTTGAAACCCCCCCCCCAAAAAAGACCTAAATTTGTAATATAGCTAAGTTTAGAAAACAACAAAACAATAAAAAATTATATACACATAATGAAACATATAAAATACATACAAAACAATAAAAAAATACATAAGAAATATATACTCAGGGATATGTTTGATTCCCAGAACTGCAGAATGAAAGAAATTAATAAGCAAACAGTTCATTCTTTCAACACACCACTACAACCAAGATTGTACACATTTTAAGACACTAGAATTTGTGAAGCTTTGATGAACCTGGTTTACACATCAAAGTCTCTGAAATGTTAACAGAGGTGATACCCCCATTCCAAGCCAAGAGCGTCCTAAAGGGAAGGACAGCCCAGGTCTTCTGCGGCCATACTCACATTGATGTTGACTGTAGAGTGGGTTGGCATTCCTCAGCCAGATTAACACCAAAAACAAAGACAAAGGCCACACGAGTTCCACCACAAAGCGAATCTGGAAAGAGAGAATAAAAAGAAAGATCAAGGGTGATGAGAGATTTGGGGAGATACAGGCAGAGGAGAGAGGCCTTCCTCTATGTATTGTTGGGGGAGATACAGCCAGAGGAGAGAGGCCTTCCTCTGTACACTGTCAGAGCACCAGGACTGGGCTGTGCTACAATCACACCCCATCTAACACTTTGGGCAACAGTGGATCACATATCTCACAGCAGCCCCATAAGTCATGATGGAGCCAAAACATCCCTGTTACTGTCTTAACATTGTAGTGTCTGTGCTGATGTCTCATCACCTAAAACTATAGCATGTACAATTATATATAGCAATGCTACTCGATAATGACAATGTGACTGTTAGAGGTGTGTATATTTACTGTGTTTAAATCATTAATTGAGAGAAAAGTCTATTCATAAAAAAACAAACTAACAAAAAATCCATAAGTTTGAAGCGAAGTGTGATGGCATGTGTCTATAATGGCAGCACTTGGGAGGCTGAAGAGTGAGTTCAAGGCCAGCCCTGATGACATATCAACTTTGAGACTACCCTGTCTCAGAAACAACAATTCATTGTAAGAAGTTGACTGTTGTAAAACCAGCAGCAGCCCCATGCATCCTGTGTTTACTGTCTCCTGCTACATCATTTACCTTCGTCTTGATTTAATCTTGTGTTTATTATGGCTCTAGAAGCAATAGACTGCACTATGCATAAATATGCATGTATACCGTAGAGCTATGTTGCATGGGTGTGTAGTGGGCTCTGCTGGGTAGGTCTTTGTCAGTACACTTTACAAGGTGCAAAAGGTGATGAAATGACCTAATAAGGCACTTCCCAGAATCAGTTCCATTGTTAAGAGTAGCCTGACTATTTACCTGAAGAACTTCCTTCTTTCGACCTTATTCCTCCACCACCGCCTGCCTGATTCATTATGTCAGCCAGATTCTGTGTTCCTCTGCATTCTATCTGCATCTGTTCCTGAAACTGCCTCCACACGGGGCTCTGACGAAGGATCTCAGGGCTTGAAGATGTGACTGTGTACATGGATGCAGATTTTTTTTTTCCCTTTTGGGTTTTTGAGGCAGAGTTTCTCTGTGAACCCCCAGCTGTACTGGAACTCATTCTATAGACCAGGCTGGCCTCCTAAATGCTTGGATTAAAGGCATGTACCACCACCCACTGGCTATGGATGAAGATTCTAATAAGCTCCTGGGTAATGCTGGTGCCTCAGACTGTAAAGATCTCATAATCTCTCATTCCGTGAATGAGCAAAGAGACCTACAGAGGACAGGTGACTTGTACAGTGTCACAACAGGAAGCAAAATCCAGCCTCCTGCCTGCCAGGCCATCTCTCTTCCCACACCGTCCCATGGCTTTGCCACCTTCTGGTGCATGGTAGACCTTGCCTGAAGGTGGCCATTGAATTAATGAATGAACTAGGGAGTAAATGACTCTGAAATACTGTGCCCCAAAGCAAAGTCAACAGAAATCCAGTTAGTCAGCATTTTTTCCTTCAACAAGATCTGTTGTTTAAGGGAGGCAGACATACTACCATGGCTCCTCCTCCTTTCCCCCAACCAGAAGAGGCAGCCGATATCCACCTATCCCAGAGAGCTAGTATATAGATAGAGACTTGCTTTAGAGTTAGAGTTCTCCTGACTCCAAAAGAGGAGGCACCTCACGGTGGCGGTACTCACATCCCAACACTGTACACAGTGGGAGGGCTGAGATGTGAACTTATGGAGGAGAAGAGGGAGCGGGGAATGTGAATTAGGGAATTAGATATGAAGGAGACATCCTAGCAGGCTGGTGCTCGATAAATGTTTGTTCCCTGCCTGCTGGTAAGGAAAAACCACATGCTGCTTAAAATAACAACAAAACGAACAAAAACCCCAGAAGGTTGGTGGCAACCCAGTTCTGACATATCTGAAAACTGGTGGTCGAAATAGATCACATGAAGCTGGGCGGTGGTGACGCAGTCCTTTAACTGTACACAGTGGGAGGCAGAGGCAGGCAGATCTCATCGAGTTTGAGGCCAGCCTGGCCTACAAATCAAGTTCCAGGACAGCCAGGACTGTTACACAGAGAAACCTTGTCTTGAAAAAACAAACCAACAAAAACAAAACAAAACAAAAAAAGAAAACAGATCACAGGTTAAAAGAAAGCAAAAATGTTTACAGGTACATGGTAACTCTTTAAAAAGGCTGTACTCAGCACATAACCAGGGAGAAAATGTTAGAGGAAACACATACTAATACAGCAAGAAGACAGAACAGTAGGTTTCCCTTAATGTGTTCGGGTTTTCACGGCTTTCCTATCTACCTCTTCTCCTGCAGAGTGACAAAACACCAATATTGGGCAATTCCCACCTGGTGTTTAGGGAGACTGCTCCCAGGAACACTTGCTAGCAGTTAGAATGGTTGGTAATTGCCCACAGGGCAGGCAACATCCAGAGCCTCCCTGGCCTAATCCCCTGCCAACCCCCATCACTCTTCCTATCTCTCGGTCCCTAGACCAACACTCATGGGCCCATCTGCCTCCACTGTGACCCCAGCACCCCATACAAGGCACATTTCTATGGAATGAGAAGTTTTAGTCAAGGGCCTTGGGTGCTTCTCTGGAAAGCTGGAGTTGGCACAGGGACTCAGGCCATCAACAGTCAAAAGACTTAATGCACTGCCCCCCACAAAGGCGTGTATACCAGCTTCTCTCTCACCTCTCTTCCAGATCGTCCTGTAAGGACGGTGGGGGAACGGGTTTGACAAGATGGCATTGTGACAGGTGCAAGGGATGAGACCGTCGCTCTCGGTGTCTTCACCAAGGAAACGAGACACTTGACCCCTGAGACAACTGCTCTTACTGTTGGCTCTCTACCAAAGAGATTACAGCCTTCCTGCTGTGTGTCAGCCCTTGAGCTGTCTGGGATGCTAAATGCCACTGTGGGAATGGCAATGTGAGAATGTGAAGATTTGGGTTTGCTTAATTTCTGAGTCTCAGTTTTCTCATCTCTGAAATGGGGATGCTGTTCTGTCCTATAGTATGATGAGAATTAAGAAGACTACTCAGCCGGGCTGTGGTGGCGCACGCCTTTAATCCCAGCACTCGGGAGGCAGAGCCAGGCAGATCTCTGTGAGTTCAAGGCCAGCTTGGGCTACCAAGTGAGTTCCAGGAAAAGGCGCAAAGCTACACAGAGAAACCCTGTCTCGAAAAACCAAAAAAATAAAAAAAGAAGAGACTACTCTGGGGTCAAGTACTAGGGTTCACGACACTGGGAAACCCTCCTAACCTCTCTGTGCCACAGAGGCTCATCTGTGAAAAAAGGAATGGTACCAAGTCCTGTCTCCCAGAGCCACTGTGATAATAATGACAGAAAGCTGAGCCTGGCCCACAGACCACTTACTATTGTGTCTTAAAGTCATCACAAAGGCCACAGGGGCACAGTGGAAGATAACAGATTATAGACAGATGATTAAATAAATACAATGAAAACGAACAGCAGCCTCGTAGCCCCTCCCCCACACATTCATGTCTCCTCCCTTTATGGCAGTGGTTCTCAACCTGTGGGTTGTAACCCCTTTGGGGGTCACATATCAGACATTCTGCACATCAGACATTTACATTATGATTCATATGTAGCAAAATTCCAGTTCTGAAGTAGCAACGAAATAATTTTATGGTTGGAGGTCGCCACAACATGGGGAACTGTATTAAAGTGTTGAAGCATTAGGAAGGTTGAGAATACTGCTTTATAGGTTCAGTTTGGGAGCATGGGGTCCGCTGAGAAACTGACCACACACTGTCCTCTCCTCCGTACTTAAAGGCTTGGATGTGTAAGTTCATTAGTATGGGGGAGAGGGGCCAATTTTACCTTCCTGCCCCCAGGAAGAGGGTTCTAAACTCATGCTAGTACATCTCATCTGTCTAGGAAATGCTACTCACAAGTTTTGGGGTTTGATTCGTTTTTGTTGTGAAAATGTTTTCTTGTTTGTAACTACTGTGCAGTGTCATGGTACTTGGACCTTTTCTTCGCTTATTTTTATTTTTTGCATGTGTGTGAGTGTGGTATGTGTATGTGTTTGTATGTTCCTCTGTGTGCAGGTGTGTGTTAGCATATTTCTGTGTATGAGTACGTGTGTGTGTGTGTAAGCCCCACGCTGACATTGGCTGTCTTCCTAGTGTTCTCCACTTTGTTAACTGAGGTCGAGGTTTTCACTTTCTGAACCCAGGGTCCCTTGTTTCAGTGAGTCCGACTAGGCCAGCTTGCTCCCCGGATCTCACGTCTCCGCCTCCCCGGAGCTGAGAGGACAGGCAGAAATCACCAGTCCCCTCAGGTTTCAGGTGGGTTCTAGGGCCCAGAACTCTGATCTCTACACTTGCATGGCAGTACTTCAGCGGCTGAGCCGGCTCCCAGTTGTATTTGTGTTAATTTTTTTAAGTTAGCATACAAAGTAATGGGATTACGTCATTTTCATACATGTCATTATCCTTCCTTCTAATTTGTCCCCGTTCCGGACTACCCTGCAGGCCTGCCTCTGCCCCATGGTTCCCCTCCTCTCTCCAAACAGCCCCCTTTTCCCTTGAGATCTTTCCCCATTCTGTATTTGGGCATAGCTGGTCTGTGAAGTCGCCATGATTGAAGTCCTCTATCAGAGGAAGTGGGGGGGTGGGGGTGGGGGTGGGGAGGTGGGGGACACGGACTGACCCTCCTCACTCCCCTGCGCCTGCGCTCTTCGTCATGTCTCTGAATTTGGGCTGCTGTTCTCTCGACGACCCAGGCTCCTCCAACGAGCAGCCTCCCTCAGTAGCCCTTACCCAGCTGCAAGCTGGACTCATGGGCATCTCGAGCCACGTCCAGAGGGACATCAGAATCCCCCCCCCCACTTTTTTTTTAGGTAATTCCAGTAGCCAGACAAGGCTGAGAACCCCCATCCCAGCATAGCCGGCTGTCTTTAAGAAGCACTGGGGAAGCTGATACTTTTCCTCTGCGTGCAATCTGGATCAGCCGCCCTTACAGGGCACTCTCCGCACAGAGACCACCTGTCGCTCTCTCTCCACCTCGCAGAGGCAGGTGGGTCCTCCCAGCAGCCTCTTCCCCTCCCCCAGAATCAGTACCACCAGCCCAGAAGGGCATTGTGGCCCTGGCAGCTCAAGTGTACACAGGCATGCCCTAGGGAGAAATTCCACATTGTAATAAAAACATGTCTCCAGAGTCGTGCCCCCCCCAACACACTTTAAGCATGTCTGTAACTTTAATTAAGCCCAGCCTAAGCTCAGAAGCACCCTCCCCCATGGAATTTTTTTTTTTTAACTATACTGGTATTTCCTTATTCCCGCTCCCCTCCCCCTCTTTACCATTCAGTCTATGTGGGGGAGGAAGGGTTCCTGGGGAGGGCAGAGTCCTGCTTGTTGTTTTAAAACAGCCAGTTAGGTTTTCTCCCTTCCCTCTCTGTTTTCAATTTAAAAGGGAGGGAGCCAGAGCTTGAGAGCAACAGGGCTGATCCTCCCTTCTGAGCTGAGAATCCAGACAGGACTCAAACCTGGCCCAGTGCCACCCACAGTCTGGTGCACTTGGAGCTGGTGCCCAGCCTCCTGGCACCCGATGCTCTCTTCCCCTAATTCTGGGCCCAGCACTCATGGCCACGGTGATACCAGACAGGAACCTCTAGAGTTTAGGAAGTAAACTCCTATTTTTATGAGTCCTCAGGCCTTCACCAAACATCCTGTCCTCCCCCGGAAGTGGGGACCTGGGGACACCAAGGCATTCTAGGGTATGTAGCTCAGAGGCAAGAAAAAGCAGCATTAATATGCTTTACAATCCTCTCAATCCACAGGGGCGGATACAATCTTGGGTAGTGTCTTCCGGAGGCAGGCGTGTGAGGGTTAAACTCCCAAGAAATGTCCTCTGAGCTCCTGGGCCCCTCCCCCAACCCCAGGCTTCTTTCTGCTCCACTACTGGAGTCTCTATTCTGCTTAGGAATCGTGTGTGACAGCCTCCACCTGCCTGACTCCAAATTCCATCAGGGCAAGGGCTGTGCTCAGTTCTCCTTCATCCAGGTCAAACATACACTCAGGCTACATACCCAATCTGAGTCTACGTCTACTGTCCTGGTGGGTGAGAAATTACCCAGTCACTCTCTCTTGGTGACATCTGTGCCTTGTCTGCTAGTCAGGGCAATGGCGGTTAATGACCATGGCTGCTATCTCGAAGTCACACACGGTTTAATCCCAGGTCTAGATCCAGCTCATCCTGACCCTTCTGAAGCTTTGGTCACCACAGTGGTACCCACAGGAGTAACTGATGCCTCTCTGTCCTTGCACTGCTGTGAGGGATAAACGGTGAAATGCGTTTAGTACAACACCAGGTACTTCCCAACATCAAACAAGCACTAACAGAAGATGGGAAATGAAGGGAGGGGAGCAGGCACCTGAAGACTCCCACCTGCAGCTTGAGGGGGTGAAAGAGGAGGAATGGGGAACCTTGGTATCTGTCTGTCCTCACTTGCGATCTGCTCACAATAGTAAACACCTAACTTATAAAAGTCTGAGGAATGGCTGCATTATGGGCTGCCATGCTGCGCTTAATGCAGAGCTATCATTTTCTAGAGGTGGCTCTTTCCAGAAGATCCAAATGCCTTGAAAGGAGCCACAGACCCTTTCAAAGAGCTACTGGGGGATTAGGAAAATGCTCTCATCTTGTCCAGACATTCTGGATACATTGGCTATCCAGAGGCACAGGGGCAAGCTGTTTCCAGGCCATGAAGGCGGTATCAATGCGCAGGCGGGGCCCAGGCTTAGGTGAGACAGGGCTCACAGCAGGAATGGCTCCATCCCCTGGGGAACACACAGTGAGGGAGAAAGTCCCCATCCCCCAACAGGGATACACTTGCCAATGCGAGGGGAAGGGATAGAGATGGTAAACCTTCCTGAGCCAATCCTGTCTCTGGAAAACCGAGTTGGCTTGCCACATCAATGGGAGCCTTGCTGGCCAGCAGTCATGGTGCTAGGGGAGGGGAGGAGAGGAGATGGGGGAGGGGCAGCAGCGGGGGCGCAGCAGGGGCATATTGGATTTCCTTGGCAATCCATGGAGTATTTGCACCCTGAGAGCAGAGGCTGAATTGTCTCATTTATCATTGTGAACTTAGCACCTGGCACACTGCCCGGTGACTATTATTTCTTGACTGAATGAATGAGTGAACCCGATGAAGTTAACAATGAGCGTTGCTCAGGTTTGGACGGAATTTTCATTCAGGAAGGGAAATTTCTGCAAGGGACGGAGCCTTTGGTTACTGTCAGCACTTGGTCCCTGGGGGTCCCAAATAACCTCCCGGCTAATTTGAAATGACACCAGCCTTGATAAGGAAAAGCGACGGTAGGACAATGGTGTCCCCAGGGTGAGCTTGGCCTCTCCCTCCCGCCACACCTAGGCCTTTGAAGCGTCTGTGTGGTGTCCCTTGCTTCTTCATATGTGAGTTAAAAAACTATGGCACCTCAACCCTAAGGTCACCAGCCGGGGTTCCTTCCTCACGGGTCTGGGCCTGTGGAGCCTCAGAAACCCTGATTTCAGCTCCACAGATCTCTGGTCTCAGTTACATCTCAGCAATTCCTCCTCCTTCCCTAGACTTTCTCACCTGAGTGTGGCGCCTCCTGCCTCCACATCCCTTCGGGTTTTCCTCTCCTCTCTCAGCTGCTAGCTTTGTGACTAGCTGACACACGTCCATGCTCATCTCTCTCTGACCAAATCTGCCTGAGGCACGCACACAGGTCTTCACACGCCCCACCACCTGGTCCTGTTTCTTCCCTAAGGGTCCTCCTGATACCCAGGAAAGCCCTGCCTGCTCGGCCCACAGAAACTCGCCCCAAACCATCCTCCTCCTTGCCATGTCCTCTTCATGAGGTCCAGCTTTCTTTCCTTTTAGTGTAAGTGTTAAATGCATGTTAGTATGTGTGTGCACATGTGTGTGTCAGGGTGCAGGTGTGTGTGGAGGCCAGAGGTCAGCAAGGGGTGTTGTCCTCCGTTCTTGGCCCGATCTCCCCACCTCTCACAGCAGCCCCACCCCACCCAGGCTCCTGAAGTCATTCCATGTTTCTAGAACTCTGCAAGGCACTGGGACAGCCGTTCTTTCCTACCTTCCTTTCTTCATCCTCTTCCTTCTTCTCCTCTGTCTGTCTGTCTGTCTGTCTCTCTCTCTCTCTGTGTGTGTGTGTGTGTGTGTGTGTGTGTGTGTGTGTGTGTGTCTGTTTCTCTCTCTCTTAAAACACGATCTCATTTATCCTAGATTGGCTTTGAACTCACTCACTTTATAAGTGACCTTGAATTTCTGACCCTTTTGCCAGGTTTGCACCATCATGCCCAGTTTATGTGGCCCTGGGGAGCAAACCCAGGGCTTGGTGTAGGCCCAGCAAGCACTCTACCAACTGAAGTACATTCTCAGTGCCATTTCTTTTTGGATATGTATTTATTTCTTATCCCTTCACAGAAAAACCACAGAGGAGCTGTTTGCTCTGGAGGGGCTCCGATCGTCTGCAGCGTTCACCTGCGTTTCTCCTGGGATTCTCAGCCTGCATTACTTTCTGTTACTCTGGGTTCTCAAAATATACTTCAGGTTTCCCCAGCTGTCATAGAAACCAGTTCAGAGAGAACACACACCGTATGCCTTTAAATCCTTAGTCTAGCCCACTCAAGGCGTTTGGGAGAATCCGTGGTTAATAACAGGGTCACACTCCCGGAACCTCTAACAGCCGCTGGAAGGTGCAAGGTTATTTTTCTCCACCATAAAGACAGAAACAACGTGCTCAGTGACAGTGTGACGCCCGACTCAGGGAATCGCGTCCCGATTCCTGCAATGCTCATGTGTGAAGACATCCCACTCTCTAGCGTGAGGAAATTGCTCTTACTGAACTGCCAAGCCAGTCAAAGCCTTCTTGCCTTCCTTTGGGTGAGTTTTTCAGGGTTTAGGATGCTTCCCCTGGGCAGTGAGAACTGGACCAGCAGATGTCAAAGTGGGGGGGGGGGGTTGGGGGTCGCAATGGATTCCTCTGCTGGGCGGAGGACAGAATATTTTTCATACCGTCAAGGGCAAGAGAAGCACGTCATCCTGTGGAGGGCACTTGTTCAGAGAGGCTCACAGAGCAGCTGAAGGTGGCCTCAGAGCTAAAGGGCAACCAGCTTTCGGCCCCTCCTCCGTTCTTCCTCCACCCACCCCATGTTCTTACCTTTTGTCTCTTCCTCAGGGTCCAGTTCTTCCAAAGCAAAAGCTGTATCTGTCTGGGAAAGCCCATGCTGCTGACCACCCGGGACCAGGGGATCACTGTGAGCCTCGGACACAAAGGCCACTGGGCCGCCTCCAGCTCAGGCTGCTGTGTCCTTCTGGTGATTAAAGGCCGCTTTTCCCCTTCAAGCATAATCCCTTCTAATTACCTGTAAGCCCTTTGTCAGGGAAAGGAGGCAGGCCATGGCTCCTTTTCAGAGGGAGAAAAGCCCTAACTAAATACACAAGTGCCCAGCACTGAGGGTACAGAGATGGGACATTCAATGGGAGGCCAAGAGCCTCAGGTACCCTCCTCCATCAGACATCAGAGGGGCTCCTGGCATTTCTGAGGAAGATGCCTTCCTTCACTCTCTCTGAATGTTAAGTTTGGGACAATTCCATTTGCTCACCCAGAGGCTGGACATTTGCCTCCCAGTGACCTAACATAGGCCAGCCTCCTGGATTTGACTGTTTCCCCCTTAATGAGTTAGAGCTAAAGTGACCCCTTCTTTTTCAAGCCCTTTGTTTTGCAATATAATAACTTCAAGTCTGATCAACCAGTCCTGGCTACCTGGAGTAATCAGACTCAGCAGGACAGGAGCAATGTCTGCCATGGGCTTGGACATGGTACTTACCACCATTCCAGCTCAGCAGGGTGTTGCCAGATAGACTGACCACTGGGTGATGGAGCTGGGATGCCAAGGATACCCCAAACGCGTCTCTTGGGTACTTCCCCATGGAAGTTTTACCTCTGATTCCTCAAATCTCAGGAATATGTTCTCTTTGAATAGTCCTAAACATTAAGACCTTAATGTCTAGGAAGGAAACCATGGAGTAGGGTGGATACTGACTTGGTGGCATTCATGGTCTGTTTGTAAACATGGGACGTAAACTTGGACAGCCTAAGAATGTATGAGAGCAGCCGTGGGGGTTGACTGACTGTGCTTGGCAAAGCTTCCAATAACAGAGAGGGTTTCTGTTTTGAGTGTTTGAAAGGTTCCTTGGAGGTAGTGGCATTTAATATAGGGCTCTGACCAGTACAACATACATACATTTAGGACATGGTATAACTGTAAACTGCCTTTGCATATCTTGTTTTATCATCATTACAGTCTTATAGCTGTCTGCTTTGTTATACAGAGAGGCAATCTGAAGCCTCATGAAATAAGTACTTCACTAGTTGTTACACATGATATAATACTGGGTTATTAAACTAAGTAGCCATGGAAAGACAGGGAGGCAGGAGTATCTTATCCTGTTGAGGAAACCACAAGTTATAAGGATGGCTCCAGGGGGATACGGATGGCAGATACTGGAAGAAGAGGTTATAAAAGGGAGACAGAGACCAGACTCAGAAACTCACGCTGATGACTGATTCCATCGAGATTAAATGAGCAACTATGAAGTGATCTCTGAGCGGCTCCCAAGTGCAGGGCACCCCTAAACAGAAGCAAGCTCTGGACAGAGTCATTAAGCACTTCTTACACGGGCAAGTGTGTGGTTTTCATCATCCAGGAAAAGATAAAATACTCTAAGCCAATGCCAGCTACAGAGACAGCTACGTGGGTCAGGCTGCCTGAGAGAAAGCAGTGAGTGTGACCAGAGTCACGTAAGGGGAGGGGAGGGACCGGAGTGGCTGGAAGCAGAGACAAGGCAGACCGGTGGCTGACTGGAAGTGAGTGAGTGGTGAGGAAGAGGTCAGCTAGAAGGATGGGGCTTGGAGCTGACTGGCTGGATAAAGAGAGGATGGCCCTCAGAGAGAGGAATGGCATGGAGAGCCAACTAGGTGGGTAGAAGAGATTTGCATTTAATTCTGATTTTTTTAAAGTTGGCATCAGGAGACAGTTCTAGGCTGGATATAGAACTGAGGATGACCTTGAACTCCTGATCCTCCTGCCTCCACCTCCCAAGTGCTGGGGTGTCAGGCCTGAGCTAGCCCACGTTTCAGTAAAGCTGAAGTCCCTGTGATGTGTGCTGTGTCGAGATGTTCAGCAGGCAGCGAATACCTGGGTCTGGAGTCGTGAACCAACTTCTAGGATGGAGGGAGAGGCCTGAGACTCATCAGCACACAGATGATGACTAAGTCCTAGGCATGATCAATCAGTTGCCGATGGCAGATGCTTGGAGAGTATATGAGATTATGGTGGGTCAGGGTCCGCTGGGGGAAGAAATGAGTTTTCTTCCAAATTTCTCAAAGATGGGAGAAGTTATAGCCATCAGATTATCAGGTAAGTAAAATGTCTCCTATTAGAATTTAAATAGGCCACTTTGAACTGAATTAGAAAGTGTTTAATGGCAAGCACAGTTGATAACAAATCAAGTAGCGTTGTTTCCATGGTTTCTCTCTGACTGGAGCTCCTCTTTCCTGAACTAATGCTGGCGGAAATTGACTGTTCCTCCTTTTCATTGTGAGATATATGTAACAGAAAATCACCATTTTGGTCAGTTTAAATTACATAGTTCAGGAGTATTAAGAATGTGCCCCTGTTCGGCCATCATTACCATCCATCTCCATAAACTGTTTCTTACTTTATAATATTAATACCCTGCATCCATTAAATAATAACTTCTCATTCCCTACTTCCTCCAGACCATGGAGACCACCATTCCCCTTTCTGTCAATTCAATGGAATCATGTGATATCTGTATTTCTTATGTCTGGCTGATTGTGCTAAAGGTTATCTATGTTGTAATATGTTGTCTTAATCATTTTAGGCTTCTCTGACAAAATACTATAAGCTAGGTATCAGATAAACAATGGCTGTTTTCTCACAGTTCCTAGGACTGTGTCAGACTAAGACCATGAGACCAGTAGACGTGATGTCTGGTGAGGCCCCACTTCTGGTTCCTGGATGGTGCCTTCTGGATGTGTGCCCACAGGAGGAAGAAGTTAAGGGGCTTTCTTCAGCCTTTCATAAGCTCACTGGTCCCATTCACCAGGCCTCTGTTCTCAAGACTAAGCCTTTCCAAAGGCTCAGACTAGTGCTATCATATTAGGGGTAGGATTTCAATTTGTGCATTTTCAAAGGCCATACATTTGGTATGGTATAAAGCCATACCGTTAGACTGTATTCCTGGGTAGGTCCGTGATCATGGTATTAATTTAAGGGGGAAATTCTATTGAGTTGTATAAAGTGTCAAGGAGAAGAACCTTGGTGTCTGATGTGTATATGTGTATATCTTTTAAGAACACAAGGAAATCCATGGGTACCACATTCCAGTTATGAGCAAGTTCTAGGTGCTCTTTATTACACAGGCTAGTGACCACAAACAGCAATGGTGAACTGTATATTTCAAAAAGCCAGAAAAGATTTTGAATATTTTCAGCATCAAGAACTGGTAAAGGTGGACTGACAGTGTTATTTAATTTGGGGAGTGACTGCCTGGTATTCACAGGGGCCCGGGTTTGACCCTCAGCACTGCAGAAAGCCGAATGTGTTAGAGCATTACTATAATCCCAGCAATGGAGAGGTAGAGGCAGGAATATCAGAAGTTCAAGTTATCTACAGCTATCTAGTGAGTTCGAGGCCAGTCTAGGTTACATAAAATGCTGTCTCGAAGGAGGAGAAGGATGAGGAAGAGGAGGAGGAGGAGGACGGGGAGGAGAAGTAATGGTGTACGAAATGATAAATGTTTGAGGAGACAGATAGGTAGATGTTTAATGTGGTTTAAATACTACATGGTATGTACATATATAGAAAGATAGCATGGTTCTTCATATATATATATGTTCAATGTTTATGTTCTCATATTACATTTGGAAAGATGGAAAGACAAATTAATTTTAAATTTTTAAAAAGGAAGCAGAACTCCCAACAGCCAACACTTTCAGTTCCCGCACATACCATGAAAAGGCTGGCCAAACTAATTAAACCAGCTGACAGCACGGTGAACAGATGTGTGGCAGGCCTCCAGTCCTCATCAGCCACCGCACATCGTGATCCAGGCCTGGAGCAGTTTCACAGATCATCAAAACACAAAAGGCATATTGGTTGAGGTCTGGTGAGACCACTAAGTGGGAAAGAGCACATGCCATGCCCGTCTGCTGACCCGTGTCTAATTCCTGATTCCAACACTGTCCCCTGACCTCCACACATGCACTCATTACACACACACATCCTGCTAAGAAGAAATCTTAAAAATCTTCTAAATTATACCAAGTGACTCTTTCAGTACTTTGGCGGCTGATGAATAAGCAAGGGCAATATTTGTTTCCAACTCTGAATTCTGTTTAAGATGCACTTATCAGTCCCTGAGTGCTACCAGAATTCCTTGCAAGAGCCTCAGAGTGAACGTATAAACACACTTTGCCTTTGTGTTTAGAAGTGGGAGCAGTATCCCCTAGTTTACACCAGAGAGAAGTGATGAATGCTCCAGAACCATGTGGCACAGAGTGGAGGAATTTTTCCCAAAAACATAATCTCTAAAAGTCCCGTAAGAAAGAGTATCTTAAAATTGGTGACAAGCCAATTATTACCCTTACTAAAGGATGTCCAAACATATTAATTTCTATTTTTAGTGTTCTATTTCATTTGAATATGAAGTATTTACACGTGACAACATTTTAATAAAAGCATTAAGTTAAAACAAAAAAAAAAGAAAGAATGTCTTTGGAGAAGAAAAAAATAAACATCTTGAAATGTGGTATTGCCCTGTTTCCTCAGGACAGCACAACATGCATCACTATGGTTTTCTAACTACATTGTAACATTTAAACATATAATTTTTTTTTTTTTTTTTGGTTTTTCGAGACAGGGTTTCTCTGTGTAGCTTTGCGCCTTTCCTGGAACTCACTTGGTAGCCCAGGCTGGCCTCGAACTCACAGAGATCCGCTTGACTCTGCCTCCCGAGTGCTGGGATTAAAGGCGTGCGCCACCACCGCCCGGCTAAACATATAATTTTTCCTAGAACAATTATACTACATTAAAGTAATTGCTGTATTATCAAGTACAGGAAGGGTGGGGCACCTAAACAATTCTGGAGGGATGTCATACAAACGCAATTCCAGAACTCAGCACTAACCTACATCCATGTAGCTGTTTCATTGTTTAACCAGTCTTGTCTGTCCTCCTCCTACCCAACATGGTCTGTGTGTGTGTGTGTGTGTGTGTGTGTGTGTGTGTGTGTTGTGTATAGTGTATGTATGTGTTCATGTATGTGTCATGTGTGTGAGAATGGACACATGTGTTCATATCCTTGGAGGCCACCCGGTGTGCTCCTCAATTGCTCTCCACCTTGCTTTTTTGAGACAGGGTCTCTCACTGATTTGGCTATGATGTTTTTAATGAGCCCTGCAGCTCATTGCAGACTGCTTTGATTTGGCCCATCGTTGAAACAAGAATAGCAGGTCCATTTCCTACTTTGTCTCACTAAGACCATTTACAGGGCCATTGAGAAGGTCCAGGCACGATGACTAATTGTTATGGAACAGAAAGGAATGACCAGGGTTTGCCTTGCAAGCATGAGAACCTGCTGAATCCCCAGAACCCACTTTAAAAACATCAAACGTGTTGGCATGAGGTTGTTTTCCCAGCACTGGGGAGGAGGCAGACAGACCCCTGGTGTTTGTTGGCCAACCTATTCTACTTGGGCCTATCTATAGGCCCACAGAAACGATGTCTCAAAACCCAACATGGACAGTGCCCGAGAAATGACCTGAGCTTTTCTTTGACTTCTATCAGCAAACACACACATGTGAACCTATTCACACACACACACACACACACACACACACACACACACACACACGAACCTACTCTCACACACACACACATGTGAACCTACTCACACACACACACATGTGAACCTACTCACACAAACACACACACACATGTGAACCTACTCACACACACACACTCACACACACGTGAACCTATTCACATATACATGTGAACCCACTCTCATACATACACATGAACCTACTCACATACACATGTGAACCTACTCACACACACATGTGAACCTACTCACACACACATGTGAACCTACACATATATACACACACACATACACACAAAGAAATTAGTGATCAAACATAATTTAAGGCCTCTAGTCACTGTACAATCATTGGTCCTATCAGCAGAAAAACAAGATATTTACTAACTAAATCACTCTTGTAAGAATCTTGTACATCAGCCAGCACTAATTTAGTCTTGCCTGAAAAGATTTCAGACTTCCAGATTTTGTTATTGTTGGATTAAAATGCAGATATAAAAATTGAGCTTATAAACCTGATGTGGTGGTGCACATCTTTAACCCAGCATTCAGGAGGCAGAGGCAGGTGGATCTATGTGAGTTTGAGGCTAGCCTGGTCTACAAAGTGAGTTCTAGGACAGCCAGGGCTACACAGAGATCCTGTCTCAAAAAACCAAAAAAGAAAAATTAACTTATAAAAATTGTGTTTGAAAAAATATGTACCTGAACATTCCATGAGTTTCTTTCTTATCAGGAGAGAAGAAACATTTACGGTTTCTACATCTAAACAGTCTTTGACCAGCTCATCCTTTAAATTTCCAGACTCCTCTGGGCAACTCCACAGGGGTGCTTTAAGGAGCAGCCTTTTAAAAATCAGGCACCCATTTCCTCACAACATCCTTTTAAAAAGCAAAATCCAGAAATTTTGCAAATGTCCATCACCGAAGAATGGATAAGTGAATTAACTAGCCCATTCTATTTTTGTTATTGGTGTGTGTGTGTGTGTGTGTGTGTGTGTGTGTGTGTCCATGCTCGCGCATGCGTGTGGCTATGAGAGAATAATCCACAAGAGTCAGTTTTCTCCTTCCACTACCTAAGTCCCAGAGATCAAACCCAGGTCATCAGTCTTAGCAGCAGGCTCCTTCCCTGCCAAACCGTCTTGCCTGCCCTTAACTCATTATATTCTTCCCGTCAACTCTCTTCAGCAAAGAGAACAAGCTATGACTTAAAAAATGTGGACGCTTCTCCCCCACACAGTGCTAAGCCCACAAAGCATGAAACGCAAGCCTTCACAGCCCAGATCCACAGAAAGTTTAGGCACAGGCAGCAATCACCTGCGATGCTCCAAGGAAGCATGGGGGTGAGTCTTAGAGAGGACACTGACTGGAAATGGTACCTGTTGTGTTCCTAGGAGTGCTAGACACAGTCTGCCATCTGTCCTGGGTACCTGTCACCTGGGCATGCTCAGCTTGTGACTTTAACTTGAGCACTCAGAGGCCTATAGGTCATGTTTCAACCATCTGTTTAAACCACAGGTGAAGGAAGGAAATCCAGCAGAGGCGGCTGAGCACAGGGAGTGACAGACGGTGAGAGGTCTGAAAAGAGGAATCCGTTGGACACCACGGAAAGAGAATCGTGTCAAGGGGGACGAGGCAGTCCACGATACCAGGTGACTCAAAAAAAGTTAAGTAGGATAAAGGCTGAAAACTGCCCGCTGGGTCCGACAGTTGACCATGAAGAGAAGCGTTTTAACAAGAGGCAAAAAGCAGGCAGCAGAGATCACAGGATGGGACAGGGGACCCGACGACGCAGTGGCTGCTCTTTCTTTCATAAAATTGGGTTGAGAAGGGAAAGAGTTAGGGGACACAGTAGTTAGGGGGTGCCTCAGGTCAGCGAGGTCTTCACTTCCCTTAGGAGAGGAGAAACTGGTCTTTCTAATACGTGGGAAAGCCGGCTGGAGAGAGATGCTGAACGCGACTGTTATTGCCGATACGGCCGTAACTGCAATCACTGCCGGGTGATTGATGGGGTCCCCAGGAAGGCAGCAGGGAGGAATTAGCCTTGGGCAGGGGAAGGGTACCTTACATTCCAGGGGCACTGTGGGAAAGAAGGCCATCTGGGCTCAGGTGCAGCTTCAGGGAGGAAGCAGGGCGGGACCCCACAAAGCTCGCTCTGCAGCCCTTGTCTTCGACGTGAAGTAAATAGAGGGCACCGAGTGAGATCCGTGGAGAGCCTGTGTGAGTTATAAACTGGTCAGAAGTGTGAGAAATCAGCTCATCGTTCTTTTGACTTCTTTGTTTTTTGTCCCAGCCACAGTGTTTGTTCAGACATCTCCGATGAAGAGCCATTTATCCACAGTGTGAAAAATCCAAGGGGCAGATTCTCCAGCCTCCTGTTCTCCTTCCCCTCCACTACATCATGCCATTTGTTGGCAAATACAGAGAAAGGTTGTAGCTATTCAGTTCACCGTGGTCATCTAACCCAATAATCAGAATCAACTGCAGTCTTTTCCCATTTATCGTTCTTTCTGGTCTGGGGTTGCTGCACCCTTTGCAAAGACCTGCTGACCATCGGGAAGTGAGGCCTAGCTGGAGGCCAGACGTGACCTCTGCTGCCTGTCACCAGCCCCAGAGAGGCTCCCTGTGTGCCTTGGTCATTTCCATCCAGACCCAGTTATTTCTCTGGAGTTGGTTCAACTTTTGTGTCACTCAGAACAGGTTCTATGGGGCTTCTCCTGTCACCCCAGCTCTAGCAGGTCAGACTAACCTGAGGAAATGATACAGATCTTGCACCTTTGAAAAAGTCTTCCTGGATTTCAGAAGGTGGAAAGGTAGAAAAGACACATTTCCCAGTACAAAGAACTCTCTTTGGCAGAGTAAAGCTAAACCAAGGTGTTATCACAGAGGAGAAGGCGGCTTGATATCCCCAGTGGATTTTATTTGTTCATTCCAAAAGTATTTAGAGTTTTGCTTGACATTCAAAAAAGACACGGAGCCTGGAGGTCTTACATTTTCTGGGTATTACACACATGACATAAAAATTACCAGATAAGCATTGTAAGAGCATGTGGAGGAGAGGTTCACCGTAGAGCATCAGTCTGGGCTGTTATCACTCACCGTGGAGGCCTGAGCCGCTCACTGAGCACTGCCTGGACTTCCAGGGTCAGACTTGATGCTCTGAACTGGATATGTGTGTGTGTGGGGGGAGGGGAGACCTGATGCTCTGAACTGGAAGTATGTGTGTGGGGGGGGACCTGATGCTCTGAACTGGAAGTATGTGGGGGGGGACCTGATGCTCTGAACTGGAAGTATGTGGGGGGGGGACCTGATGCTCTGAACTGGAAGTATGTGGGGGGGGGGACCTGATGCTCTGAACTGGATGTGTGTGTGTGTGGGGGGGGGGCTGATGCTCTGAACTGGATGTGTATGTGTGTAGGGGGACCTGATGCTCTGAACTGGATGTGTGTGTGTGTGTGGGGGACCTGATGCTCTGAACTGGATGTGTGTGTGTGTGGGGAGACCTGATGTTCTGAACTGGATGTGTGTGTGTGGGGGGTGGGGGGAATGCTAAACTCAGCTGTCATTGTGGACCAAAGGTCATACATTCTAAAGCTAGCAACACCACCAATGGACACTGAAAGCCATTCTAGTGTCAAGAAATAATTTTTGAGAATCAGAGCTCCAGACTAGTTCAGAACAATTTCTTTCTAACGATCCATTTAATATGAATGAGATAACTAATCTTCGGAGTGTGACTCCTCACAGGCAAAGGCAGCCTCTGCTCCGGGGAATTTATGTTTAGGAGGCTGGAGAGTGACATCTCCAAAGACTCTGGACTTGCAGGTGCCTGGATGACTTCCAATAACAGATAACAAACACGATTCTTCCACAGCCTCACAACAAACCAGGGACCAGAAGACACCCTAGTCCCAGCTTTCCCGGTCATGGCAAACAGCCACCACAAGTGTTGTCTGTTTTTTCAGAAACCATTTGGCCTTGAGCTTGGCGACGACAGAAGGAAAATGGAAAGTACCGAGGCAGCATTTTGTGAGGTGGTGCGAGCAGGCGGCGTGGGAAACTATGTCTGTGGTTCCTGCCTGCTCAGCCTGACAAAGAAAGCGTGTGATCTGTTGTCAGGTTCCTTCCATTCAGTGTGTCTCCTCCTAGAGAGAACTTGATTTCTGTGAGCCTTCCCTCCCTCTCACCCTAGTGACTCACACCAGCCCTGATGAATCTGTCACTTTCTCGAATATTCCTTGAGGCCAGGAAGCAGAAGAGAGAAGAGATTTAGAAGCTGAGCTACAAGTTGTGTATCGGCCTTAGTCCCCACCATGGACTCATTTCCAGCTCTGCCCCAGTGAGAATGTCATGTGGTTGTTTTAGCAAACACACACACACAAAAACAGGGAAACATCAATATGAGGCTCAGGTAGACCCCTGTCCCAGCCATTATCCCAGGAGCCTTCATGAATAGTAGGTAAGAAGCTTCTGCACCTATGGATGACAAAATTATAGTCTCTATTCCTTTGTTAACTTACATCAAAAGTGCTATTCTTCGGGGCTGGAGAGATGGCTCAGAGTTTGAGAAAGCTTACTGCTTGTGTGGAGGACCTAGGTTCCATTCCCAGCATTCCCATGATGGCTCACAAATGCCTGTAATTCAAGTTCCAGGGGATATGACCCGACCCTTGCTGCTGACTGCTTTGGGCCCCTGCATGCATGTGGTGCATATACACACACTCAGGCATGCACACAGGAAGAATATAGATATTCTTGGTGAACCAATGAGTTTTATGGGCATCACTTACAGGAGCAGAAATGACTCACGGACAGGTACATCACCAAAGCCCACCCCCAGTGTGGGTGCTCTCTCCTGAAAGCTGGAGACCTGGAGCTCACTGTACAGCCTGGTATGAGAGTGTCTCCTTCAGAGGACTTAGTTGAACTGAGCCTCTTCTGGACATCAACAATTGACATGAATAGCAATCTATGGTTTTCAAGTGCTATTCTTGGGGGCTAGGGTTTAGCTCAGTTGATAGAATGCTTGCTTAGTAGACTTAATGCCCAACAACACATAGACTGGGTGTGGTGGTCCACAGCTGTAATCCCAGCACTTAGAAGGTGAAGGTGAGAGGCTCAAAAGTTCAAGGTCATCCTCAGCTACATGGTAAGTTCCAGGCTAGCCTAGTATAGACAAGAGAGCCTGTCTTTAAAAGAAAAAACTCTCCTCCCCCTCCTCCTCCTCCTCCTTCTTTTTAAGATTTTTCAAGACAGGGTCTCTGGCTGTCCTGGAACTTGCTCTGTAACCCAGGCTGGCCTCGAACTCAGAGACCTCCTGCCTCCGCCTTCTGAGTGCTGGGATTAAAGGCCTGTGCTTCCACTACCCAGCTGAAAAATGTTATTCTTGATGCTCCTGGTTGTGTCTATTGAAACGAGGAGGGAGAAGGTCTCTGGCAAGCCGGAAGCTCCTCAAGGAAGTTCGAGTAGGGTCTTCTCCTAATAGATGCTTATTTTTTTTTCAATGCAGTGCTGCTGAAGGTGCAAAATATGTATGGAGAAAGACTGGACAGTCCCTCGGGGTGAAAGGCTACGCAGCTCTTGGCTGTGGTCAGAACAGGCCCCAGCAGCTTCCCAAGGATGTCCTGAGAGGCCTGAAGCAAAGGCTCTGTCATGGAAGATCAGGAACCTGAGCTGTAAGCCAACAGCTACAATAACAACAGCAAACCTCTGCTCCGCAGCCAAGGAGCCACTAGTGAAGGGCAAAGGGGACCTAAACGGAGGGTTACAACAGCAAGGGCTATCACAGACAGTCCTCGGAGCCCTGGCCATTTCCTCTGAAGGACCAGAGGTCGGGGACTTTAAAGGCGAATTTTGACTTTTCAAAGTGAAACTGGGGCCCTGTGTGAACAGTGTGGCATGGGAAGCTCCTCTCGGTGATGCAGATTGGAACGCATGTTTCTTAAGCACAAAATCAAAGACCCTTTGGTCCAAGCTGCTTTTTCTGTTGGTTGACTGGTTGGTTCATTCAGCTAAAGTAAGGGGTGGAGTGCAGGGTGAACCTGGGGGAGATACCAATGGGCCTCAGGCCACTACTGCTGTATAGAAGAATAAAGGGGGGCCTGGAGAGATGGCTCAGAGATTACGAGCACGGACTGCTCTTCCAGAGGTCCTGAGTTCAATTCCCAGCGCCCACATGGTGGCTCACACCCATCTGTAATGAGATCTGGCACCCTCTTCTGTATACATAAAAAATAAATAAATTTTTAAAAAAAGAGTAAAGGGATGAAAGAGCAGCCACAAGCAGCTTTGGGGATCCTGGGAGTCTCCAGTGTGCCCTGTCCAAGCTTCCCAGCATCACACTTCCTCCAACAAGGCCATGCCTACTCCACAAAGCCTCACCTAATAGTACCACTCCCTTTGGGGGCCATTTTCTTTCAAAGCACCATAGCACGAGACCAGAAATGTCCATCCAGACCCTTACTACTTCCTCTCTAACTGCAAGAACATACTCTAACATCTTGCTTCATTTTTGTGATTCGGTAGACACTGCCGTTCCTCCAGTTACTTCACAGTCGCAAAAACACTTCACATTTTGTGTGTTTATGGTGTATGTGTGGGTGTACAGTGTGTGTGTATGTGTGTATGGGATGTGTGTATAATGTGTGTGTGTGTGTGTGTGTGTGTGTGTGTGTGTGTGTGTGGTGTATGCACGTGTATGAGTGTGAAATAGTAGTATCAGGGTGTACTTGTGGAAACAGGACAGCCTTGGGTGTTGATCGTTGCCTTCTTCCTTGTCTGATATAAGTTGGTCTCTGCTACCTGGCTCATGACCTTCCTGGCGTAACAGTCACGTGCTGCCATGACTGGCTTCACACAGATTCTGGGGATCCATACACCTGGTCCTCATGTTGGAGGACAGCATACCCTTCTCTACTGTACCATCTCCTTGGGTACCCTCACCCACATTTTTATAGATTTAAAATGTATGTTAACTCAGGTACTCTACCTCAGCTGTCCTTCACAAATGCCCTTCAGTGAGGAAATGATTTGCGTTTCATGGATGAGGAAACACATTTCAAAAAGGTGGGATGACCTATGGAGGCCACCTAGAATATAAGTGGAACGGCTGGTAGGCAAACGCGGGCTTTCTTATTCTTTCTCACCACATGAAACCCGGTCAAAGCAGGGAGTAAGTACACGGTTGGATCTTCCACTGACTTAGGTCTCCCTTTCCTGGCCCATCATGTCACAAACTTCTGCAGACAGTTCCCCTGCACCTCAGTGAGTAAGAACACAGCTGGCATCCCACTTTCCACTGCCACCAGCGCGGACGACAGTGTGAGCCCCCCATCTGGCACCAGCATGTCAGATAGGAAAAGCAGTCAGCTGGCATGGACCAGTCTCCAAGAGGGAAAACTGAGTCATCTGTTTGTCGCTGGTTTCCATTCTAAACCCCTCTCCGTCGATGGATGGCCAACTGCTCCAGACCTTTGGGTGACTCACTCACGCTGGCAGCTTGTCTGTGGTTTTGATTTAGTTCCAGCAGACCCAGTTTCCTGCGTCCTCCCGCTTCAGAAACTGTCACAGTGGACTTTGCGAGCATTCAAAGAGGAAAAGACTGGGATGGCTTTACCAACTGTTCTCCATGTGCTTTCAGTCCTGAAGATGGGAGCTCTGAACTGGGGCCTACACGAAAATGTGTCCCACACTATCTTTACTTATTTGATTTTTGCTTTGTCATTTTTTTCTTTAAAGACATTGTCAAGTAGCCCAGGCTGGCCTCAAATTCACAAACAAAGAGCAAAAAAATATGTAAATTAGTATGAGGTTCAACTTGCAAAAAGGTAATATGTCTATTTTTCTTAAATGAAGGACAAACAGGGTGTGGTGGTGCATGCCTTTAATCCCAGCACTAGGGAGGCAGAGGCAGGAGGATTTTTGAGTTTGAGGCCAGCCTGGTCTACAAAGCAAGTTCCAGGACAGTCAGGGCTACATAGAGAAATCCTGTCTAGAAAAAGCAATAGATAAATAATAATAAAACAAACACAGGAGGCTGAGTCCCATAGAGCCACAGTTTGGTCATTGTGCAAACATCACGAAGTACACTTACACAACCCAAAATGGCTCTGATGTCACTAGTGACATCATCATAGAGATCCATCATTTTTGACCACTGATCCAAACATTACACAATGCATGACTGTGTACATGTGTATAATACTTTAAAGCAATAAACAACTGTAACATTTACTGTTTGTCAAAGAATGGCTTACTTCTATGAAATTCTTTGATGAAATCTTGAATAAGTGTTTCCATCAGATAAATGTACCAATGTGATCTTGCTGAGGGAAAGACTGACTAATGGCTTCAAGAGGCAGACATCGGTGAGTTAACTCAGAAAAGTTACACCACCTCAGGCCAACCGAATGCAGATGTGCCCTGAACCCCAAGATCTCAGACACCTCACTTGGTCTGTTTTTCAGCTGCACTCAGTCCACAGTGAGAAGACAGTGTGTTACATGACTTGGGTGCTCACCACAGCTGCCTAGCTAAGAAACTGTAACATCTGCTAGGTCAGACTAAGGTTGAAGAGTTGTGACCTACGGGGAACACTGCCATTTCCCATGGGTAGCTGCCCCGGGATTTACTCTCTTCTTTCTCCACTGGTCTGGTCCTGTGGGCTGTGCTCTCTCACATTCACAACAGGTCACGAAAATCTTTTCTATTGCAGTTCCTCATCATTTACTAAATAAATCAAATCCTAAATAAATCTGTCAACACTGCCTACAGGTGTGTCCATATTCTCCTGAAATTATATGTTCCAATGTTATAATTATACTCCAAATGCAATTTTGACTAAGGGTGACTTCAACATCATTCCAATGGAGTCTGCTAGACACTGGAGAAAACTTGAATAGAATTAAATGCATTATTAATAATGTTTTATCAGATAATATCTTAGTCCAAATAAGATAAGGCTGTGGTTCAGTGGTAGAGCACTAACCTGTAATATATGAGGCCCTGGATCCAATGCCCAGCATTGCAAATAATAAGTAAATAAAAATCAGATAAAAACAATCTCCCTTTAACGTAAAACGTAGTTTAAAACAGTGTGGTGGAGATGTGCCGGCTTGGTGGTACACACCTTTAATTTCAGTACTTGAGAGGCAGAGGCAGAAGGATCTGTTGTGGAATATTAGTTGAAGATGTGCCACATTCATTTATGCTGTGGAATATTTAATGATACAAAGATGTGCTGCATTCATTTACGCTGTGGAATATTTAATGATACAAAGATGTGCTGCATTCTTTTATGTTGCATTTGTTTAACTCTGTGAAGCTGTGTTACTTTGCCTGTCTAAAACATCTGACTGGTCTAATAAAGAGCTGAACAGCCAATAGCTAGGCAGGGGAGAGAAAAAGGCGGGGCTGCCAGGCAGAGAGAATAAATAGAAGAACAAGAAGAGGAGGAGTGAGAAAAGGAGGAGAGGAAGATGCCAGGGGCCAGTTACTCAGCCACACAGCCAGCCATGAAATCAGAAGGAAAGAAAGATATATAGAATAAAGAAAGGTAAAAAGTCCAGAGGCAAAACATAGAAGAGATGGGATAATTTAAGTTAGAAAAACTGGCTAGAAATAAGCCACACTAAGGCCAGATATTCATAAGTAAGATTAGGTCTCTGTGTATTTATTTGGGAGCTGGGTGGTGGGCCTCCAAAGAGAAAAAAAAACCAACAACAAACAAAAACAAAACAATAAAACCCAATTATATGGATCTCTCAGTCTGAGGCTAGTCTGGTTTACAGAGCTAGTTCCAGGACAGTCAGAGCTACACAGAAAAACTCTGTCTGGAAAACAAAAAATCAAACAAAAACAAACATTATGAAATCATCGAGGAAAGAAGGGACATATTCAGTGGGTAACCAAAATTTGCAGCTAATACAACCCCCACAACCACTTTATGGCATAAAGTGTGGTTGCCACATGAAGTCTGACAGGATTCCAAGCAGTTCAGGATTTTCTCCGGATTGAGCTTTACTTTGGGGAGCAAATTAGCATCATCTGCTAAATATTTAGCTCAAGCCACTTGTGTACCTGAAACCCCAGCATCTGGGAGATCCAGGCTGCCTGGTAAAAGCATCTCTTTTTAAACAATTAGACTCACAGTTGCGTTCCTTGAACAGTCATAGTTTTAAAAGAGGGGCCAAAGTGTCTGTGGATGATCATGTTTTCTCACAAAGCCTGAAGCTCCTGATCAGGTTGGGCTAGCTGGTCATCGAGCTCCAGGAATTCACCTGTCCTGGCCTCGCTGGCACTGGGATTCCAGGTGCATAGCTTCACCTGGCTTTTGATGTGGGCGGTAGGCACCAAACTCAGGTCTTTATGCTTGTGTGGTGAGCACTGGACTGAATGTGCTAGCTTCCCAGGCCTCAAACTCTTTTTACAATTTGTGTGTATTAAAGTAACTGTATTTTTCTCCCTTTAAGATAATGTGGTCAATCACATGGAACAATTTTTCCAACTCTATGGTAAATTGAACTAAGCCAGTGAGAATTCAAATGAGCCCTTATATCACGGGATAGCCACAAACCATACTATCCTTTTTCTACCTTGATAGTTTCTTTTCGAACAGGCAGTGTCTTTATGAACTCACTCTGTAGACCAGGCTGGCCTCAAACTCTCAAAGATACGCCTGCCTCTGCCTGGGATTAAAGGCATGTACTATCACCACCAGGCAGGTAATTTTATCTTTAAAGTTTTAAAAATAGACTCAATTTTTACAAGTAGATGGGGACTCTGCAGATTTCCAGTTTTAAAATGACTCGTGTTGTGTTCAGGTGCAGTCCAGAGCAGGACAGAGATGAAGTCCTCTACAGCTTTCTACCTTACTCCATTGAGACAGAGTTTCTCACAGAACTGGATGTTTGGCTTTGGGCTAGGCTGGCCAGCCAATGAACTCTCGAGGTGTGCCTGGACTGAACGTGCTAGCTTCCCAGGCCTCAAACTCTTTTTACAATTTGTGTGTATTAAAGTAACTGTATTTTTCTCCCTTTAAGATAATGTGTTCAATTACATGGAACAATTTTCTAATTCCAGTGCTGGGGTTGGTTCCAAGCAAGTGCAGTCATGCCTGGGTTTGTACATAGATACCGGGGATCCGAACTCAGGTCTTCAGGCTTGCAGAACAAGAGCTCTTATCCACCAAGCCATCTCCCTAGTTCATTTTCACTAATTTTGTCTGGATTTTTTTTGGTCCTTAATTTTGTTCTTGTTCAAATACTCAAACTGAGGTTGCTCACGGCATATTTCAAATGTTTAATTCTCTAGGAAAAGTTAGTTTTTCAATTCGATACTATTTTTCCTTTTAAAAATTAATTTTACTAATTTATCAATTTTCCTAAGCTTTTTAAAACTTAGCTTTATCGTTTTAAAGTTGGTGTTCTATTAACGAATTTCTACTCTTTTATTTCCTTTTCTATTGTTCTCTTCTGCCATACTGGGCGTCTTCGGTGCACATATGTGAGGTGAGCACTCCACCACCATTGAGCAGTCTCCGTTCCCTGACCCTTTCTAGTCTTTTGGCATCTAGAGATCAAAACTCCTAATGTAGAATAATTATTCTGATGCAGCTGCAGTCCCCAACTTTCGGCATGACTCAGTTTAGTATTTGGTTTAAAATACTGTTTATTTCCTCTTTGAGCCATGACTTAGAGGTGTGTTAATTTCTAAGCAGTTCAGGCAAATCTGAGGATTCTACTCATCTTTTGTTACTAACTTCCAGCACATTTTCTGAGGTTGGAGAGCGTATTCTGAATTATTTAAATCCTCTGACATGTTCGGAGGCTTTCTTTATGGCCCGTTTTCAGTCTTGTTGACTTTTTGATACAAGCGTCAATGGGACAGGAATGTACCATCTGGCCAGTGTCACCTGCATCTCAGGGGACTTGCTGGTGCTGTTACTACTTCTGGTCTCCCGAGCTGTGCTGCAGTGACCCTGGGACTTTGGGTTGACTCAGTTTTCCTCCGTCTTCTTTGTCATGTGTATTTAGAAACAGTGTTGTTTAGATGGATGGAACTTTGATGATGTGACTTTTCAGTTGTAAATCTTCTCTTGAGTTGTGTTTTATTTGAAGTTTGTTTCTTACGACATAGTAGAGTCACATCGGTGTTTCAGTTGTTGTCACCCACATCTTTCTGTCCTTCTGTTTCCTGGGCAGCTTTATTTGGAAAGTCTCTTGTAAACAGGAAGTATGTTAGGTCTTTACCCCTCTCTAGTCCAACAATCTTAGTTTACTGAAGTATTTACCTAACTTGGATTCAATTACTCATCTGAGTGGGGTTTTCTCTACCATCGAACTATTTCTTTCCTCTTCGATCTTGCCTTCTTTTGGATTACCCAAGTAACCCCACCTCAGTTAAAGTCCTCAAGTACTTAATTTTCCCTACTTAACTTTTAAAATAGTATAAGCTTTGATTAAATTTAATACAAACCATTACTTTCAATACTCCTTGATGTTGACAGAACATTTTCATATTTAACTCCATCGTGGCTGTCATGTGTTCGAAGTCAACATCAAACTCCAATGCTCACTTGTTTATTTATAGACGTCTCCATTCTTTCGTGCTTTGCTGTATTTCTGCCTAGGATTTTTTTTCCTTAAGCCATTCATTTTAATCTTTGCTGTCACTTCTTTTTTCCAAATAGAGTTCTTACCACATTGCCTGGCACTGGCCTTGAACTCTTCTGCTCAAGAGGTCCTCCTGGCTCAGGCGCATGACTATCTGGGATTACCAGCAAGTGCCACTCATCTGCCATCATCTGTGACACTTGAGAACTACTACACTCCAGGCTTCCAAGTCAAGTCTTATTTTCTCTAACCTGCCCAATTTTACATTTACGATGGGTCGCTAATCCCTGCTGTGTTCCTAAAAATAAACTAGAATTTCCATCATTAATCCTAAAGATAGTTTGTCTCTTGGACTGCAGACCCTTTCCCTGATTATGAGCAAAAGCCAAACATCCCCTTCACATCTTGTTCTATGCTTAAATCTCTAAAAGCTGTGCTAGCCTTGCTTCTCCAGCTGTTCTTGGGGAGAGAATGGAGGAGTTGGCTTGTTAACCCATCATCTGGTATGTTCTCTGGCCAAGTGTAACCTGCACAACTCACCATAACCCAGGAAAACTTAAGCATTTTAGGTGAAAACTTGAAGTAAATTTTTATATGCACACACTGAAAGTGACCTCAGAGTTGGGATATGCTTTTATTTCAGTATCCTAGCAACCAGAAAGAAAAATCTCTAAGAATGATTGGTAGCTGCCTTTGCTTTAAAAAGATCAAGTTTTAGGAATGAGGTAGTTTATAACAAAGACATCTGAGTTCACCTTTTGCTAATTATATACTTAACATCAGTGTTGTCTATTTGCTTGTGTGAAAAGGCAGTTAAGCCCGTCTCAAAACTATTAAATAAGCCGGGCAGTGGTGGCACACGCCTTTAATCCCAGCACTCAGGAGGCAGAGCCAGGAGGATCTTTGTGAGGTCAAGGCCAGTCTGGTCTACAGAGTGAGATCCAGGACAGGCACCAAAACTACACAGAGAAACCCTGTCTTGAAAAACCAAAACCAAACCAAACAAACAAACAAACTACAAAGTGGACTTTTTTTAAAGAGTGCAATAGAAATGAGGACTTACCAGAGAGCAACTATAACAGGCTGTATGCCAGAGGTTCTCAACCTGTGGGTCACTACCCCTTCAGAACCCCCCCCCCCAAATTTGCAATTCATAACAGTAGCAAAATTATTTATGAAGTAGCAATGAAAATAATTTTATGGTTTGTGGTCACCACAACACGAGGAACTGTATTAAAGGGTTGTGACATGAGGAAGGTTGAGAATCACTGTGTGCCTACAACCATGAGTAAGCCCTTACTGTTCAGTTAGGTCCAGCCTGCTTGCTCTCTACAGCTCAGAGCCACATTCACTTACCAACCAGCACTGCCTAGACAGCAGGCGGCTTCAAGTCTAGTGAGGCTGTTATGGTTTGGACCTACAGTGTCTCCTGAAGGCGGCGTGTTGAAGGCTTGCTCTCAGTGCAGCCTTGTCCAGAGGTGCCTGGATCACGGCGGCTTTCATCCACGGACAGGTCTATAGCTAAATGGACTACTACAAAGTGATGGAAAACAGGAGGAGGGGCCTGGTTGGAGGTAGTGGGTCACACGAGGTGCACCATTGAAAGGCTAGTCCATTGTCCTCCCCCTGACGGCCACGAGGCCAGCAGCCGCCTCTGCTACCTACTCCCCTGTTGTGAAAATGTCTCAGCTCAGACCCAACACAATGGAGCCAGGCAACCACCAACTGAAACCCGTGAGGCCATGAGCTCAAACCAACCTTGCCGCCTTCGTCTGTCTCAGGCATTTTGTCACTATAAAAAAGGCACCATCTACCCTTCTTTTTCACCAAGGAAGACTTAAAGCACCCTGTAACAAGTGCACAGGAACACAGCCAGAAAGCCGAGGCGGGTTTTCGTTGAGGTACTGCTACTGCTCATAAGCTATTTATGTGAAAAGCCTAAGACAAACCCTAAAAGAAAATCTCTAACTTGGAAACATGCCTAATTAAATCTTCTACACTAATTTTTTGAAATGTTAATTTTATACTGGCAAAGTAATTACACGGGTTGTAGACGATTCAAACCACATACGGCTTTCACATAAAAGCTTTCTGCAGTCAATATTCAGTAACTGCTCATTTTAAAAAGATTGCAAGCTGCTTTCTTCCCTTCCCTCTGGGCCTACAATTCTGAGTTCTGAGGGTTGACATTAGGGGGTCACAGACTCAGTGTGGTCTGGGAAGATGTGGTAGAAATCAGATCTTTGAGTTTGGTTTTGAGATAGGGTCTCACTGTACAGCCCTGGCTGGCCTGGAACTCTCTTTGTAGACCAGGCTGGCCTCGAACTCAGAGAGCTCCACCTGTCTCTGCCTCCCAAAAGATCAGAGTTCTGAATGGCTTGGGATAAGTGTAGTCAGAGCCAGTGCGGCTGCGACTGAGGACCCATCTAGCAGAGATGAGATGCCTAGTGGGGAGGGATTGTCAAGTATGGAAAGGATGAACTACATTAAGTGCTCAGAACTTCAATTTTATCTAAAGGAGCATGAGCTTCTTGGAAAATGCCCAATTCTTGATCTGAGATATGGAAAAGGCCAGGTGACTTTCCAACAATTAACATACCCACTTAAATCAAGTCAGGAGGCAGTATCAAAGGCACACACGTCACCTTGAGAAGACTTCCACAAATCAATTCTGGGGACTTGCAGTACTAAAATAAAGGACAACACATGGTAATGTATTCTGTGAAGGAGGAATCTAGGAGTCTCTACTGACGGATATGGACAAAGGGATAGTTCTTCCTTACAGCAAAGTCCTAAAGTCATCAACTTGCCATCTGGTGACTGACTTAGACGAGGATTGCCAATGGACTCAAAACTAGCTGTTGGTAATCAGTGAAACACAGTTTTTAGGAATCTCCTCCCAAACTGCTTACACTTTAACACTTCCACCTTTTACTGTGTGTGACGTGTGCTTGTGTACAGACACGTGCATGTCATGGTGTATGGTGAGGGTCAGAGGACAGCTGTGTGGAATGCTTCTCTCCTTCCACTTTTACGTGGGTTCCAGGATTGAACACAGATCATCAGATGTGTACTGCAAGAGTCTTCACTTACTGAACCCCAAAGTACTTCTTAATTACTAGTTTTACAAAGGAAAAGCTCCCTGGATTTTATCCTAATCAAATGACCAAAGACAATAGATCCAGGACAAATAGATATTACTGATCTCCTGGTATAGCAAAAATACAGAACCATTCCTGTAATATTTTTGACAAAATGTGTGTCCTGACTCCACCTGTGAACAAACAGCACATGAACCCAAACTGATACTTAAATAATTTGGTCTGTGCCCCTTAAGTATCAAGGTCATGAGGTCAAATACCAAAGAACTATTCTAGATTGGAGACCAAAGAAAGAGGACAACTAAATGCATCCTGTGACCTAGGACTGGGCTAAAGGCACAGACAGGAACATTAATGGGGGCAACCAGTGAAATTTGATCTATAGAGTAGATGTCACTATTATGACAATTTAAACCTCCTGAATTTAATGGGTGTACTATGGTCATCTACAAGTAGAGGTTTCCAATTCATATAATAGAGAACTCTGTAAATGTCTTGGTATGAGCTAAAATTTTCTCCTCTGGACATCTTTCATTAGATTTTAGAGTCTTCAACTTTTATTCTATTGAAGAAATGAAGTCCTAAAAACTTTCATTTCTGTTAGTTGCTGCTTTACGGGAATTCAACTGACTTTTGTATACTGATTGTGAATGTAAGAACTTTGCCAGACTGTGGATCTTAACTGACTCATCTACACATCCAATAACATCAATGCACAAAAATTATCTCCTATTATTAGGAAAGGGAAAAAACAGAATTACATGAAGCATAACTTACTTAAAAAATACATGGCAGTTTGAATTTGAAGGGATGTGTAGTTATAGAAATGCTACAACACAGTGATGGCTGCGGATAGTGTTGTCACGGTCCATCTAAAGTCCAAAGGGAGTGAGGTGCAAGTCCATCTGCTTGTGAGCTCACTAGGCCAGTCCCCACCGGGACCATAGTATCTCCACAGCAAAAGAATTAGCTTGCCTAGGCTATATCAAAGTCATTTAAAATAACCACAAGTTCTGCTAAGCCCATTTAGGAAGTATGATCAATTTTCCTAACTGCTGGCCAGAAATTTCCATAAAGCTTTCTGGTGGTCTGAAAGCTCTTTTCCTGGACTCCTAGCTCCTACCCTTTCCCCTTGCTCACATCGATTTCCTTCGTCATAAAGTAACTCCCCAGTGGGTGGCTGCCTCTGTATTGGGTGGCAGGCACAGTACAAACTGTGGGCACCCCTTCTTCTCAGAAGCCTGCTTACTGCTCCCAGGAAAACAGAATGGGCTGGACAAGCCCTAAAGGTAGCCCCAAAGGGGAATTATCACTTATGAAGTGGGCAGAGAGGCAGCTTTATGTCACGATATATTCATTAGTGACTGGGCTGTCTCCACATAATCCAACTGGAGTTAACAGTACATTTTACAAGTCTTAGTGTGGGATGGTGAAGAAGTTGTGGAGATGCCTAGCTATGCACACCTGCATAACAATGTGAACAGGCTTACTTACTGCTCCTGAACCACACATAACAATGATTCACACGGTGATCTTTAGGTGTTTTCACAGTAAGAATTTTTAGAGGGGTATTTGTTGTTACTGCTCTCTGATAATACCGAGTGCTCTCACAGTTGCTGAGAGCGCCAAACATCAAAATAGGACAGCGCTTTTGTTGTAGGTTTGACTCTGCTGTGACGTCTGTGGGACTTGGAAGTGCGTCACCTAAGTCTCTATTGCCATCAGTGGCAGGGGAGTAACAGCATGCTCACCTGCCCACTACAGGTTGCTATGAAAATTCATATAGAAACTTGTAAAGGTTGCAGCATATAGAAGGGGCTCAATAAATGTTGGCTGATTTCATTTTCATTTTAGGTTTTCACAGCAATAGGGTGTGCAATAAGGAATGAAAACAAAGTTTCATCATGAAAATGCTGGTTACTCATTCCTCCCTGGTTCAGAATGGCACAGACTCCAACACACCTTGTCACAAAACACTCCATGTTGTAGTTATGGGATGCAGGACCCAAGTGCTGACCCCTAAGTCAATGGTTAATAACATCAAAGATCACCAGACAAGCCATGAGAACCTGAAATACTTTAACAAGTGGATATGTACATGTATTTATCAAATACACAAGGTCATACAAAAGCGTAATATAATTCACACATACAAAAGGATACTATGTTTGTTGTCCCTTTTACATCCTATTTTAGACAAAACAATGACAGAGAGAGTATCAGGAATGCACAAGTTCTGAAAACTAGGTTGTTTTTTCTTAAACAGATCTGATCATCTACACCTCTCAAATTTCTAAACTCTTGGGATCAACTTAAATAAATCTTCACTCATTTGAATAACTATACATTTTCAATGGTTGAAAGTTAGGTAGAAAAAGTATATAAAATGATTCATAAGTCAAAACATTTCTTATAAAAGGAACAGTTTAAACAAAATCCGGGTAATAAAAAGAGGAAATGTACTGAATTTTAAAACTTCTGAAAATAGCGTCTTTTCTGGACCACTATATAAAATATTTAAAAGTTCAGAACTGTTGAAAAACAAAAGTTTATATAGATAAAACAAAACAAGCCCCTCAAGCCCCTACAAATGTATTAAAAACATCTAAAGCCAAATAAAAGGTAACGGAACTACACAGTTCAGGTTTAAGTGCATTTTTTGGGTATAATTAAACCACCACATGTAAAAATTGGCAATTAAAATATAATTAAATACAGATTGGCAAACCCTTTGGCCATTATGTAAATATTAAAAAGTGAATTTCCAATGGAAAAATAAAAGCTCACATACATACAACTACAGAAGCAAATGGTTGAAGATGCCCCATGAAACTGCAGGAACCACAGCCCACGACATCTTCCAGGAACTAGTGTTCAGAACTACTTTATAAATATGCACTTGATCTCACTCTGCACAATAAAGCTCATTTTCCCCAACTGCACCTCCTGCTAAAGACTATCATATATTAAGGATGAATTTAAATGGATCATTTGATGAGGAAAATCAACTCTTAAAAAACACGAATCCACGCATTTTCTTTACAACTTCAAAGATCATTCCAGTGAGGCATAAACACAGCCTAGTCCGAACTCTCTCCGTCCCACATGATCAACAAACAACACCATGACAAACAGCTTTGGCAATCCTATACAAAAGGGCCCTGTCCAAACATTCCTCTCACACACAGAACAAACAGAAAATGAATCTGACGACCCTACACAAACTGTGGGATCTCATCCTCAAGGTCTTCAAACTGCTGCATTCGTTTTAGTCGTGGTCTCTGGCAGGCCGGGGTCCCCTCAAGCAGGCCAGGCTCCTCAGAGTTCTCTTTAGGTTGACCACTTGGCTGCACAGGACAGGCTGATGTGGCCCTCGAGTCTGGGTCTGATTTGGCCACAGGACTCTGGGGGGCATGCCCCAGGGCAGGAGGCCCAGCTGCCGTGGGCAATGCTGCCTTCTCCTCAGCACCCCTGACACTGAGGCTGAGATTAGGTGGTTTGTAAAACGTTGTCCAGTGCTGGGGCTGCAATGTTCTGGGTGCTCTGACAGCAGCCACAGGACAGGAATCAGAGGACCTCCGCTCTGACGTGTCTCTTGCTGACCTGGCTGGCTCTGCATGTGGTTTACTGGCCTGGGTGCCACCACCGGAATGGTCCTCGCTATTCCCAATGTTTGCAGTCAATCCTTTCTCAGGGTGTGCACTGGGCACAACCAATGTAGTCTTGGCAGTAAAACTGTTCCGATCATAGTGTTTATCCCAGGATTTCTGGAGACTTTGCTGGTCAAAGCCATTAACTTTGGAACAAGTAGTATTTGAGTTGTCTTTTCTATGAAGTCCTTCAGCGGCAAGACTCTTGCCAACCTTGTCTGACTCTCCATTCCCTATGTTCCTGCTGCTCCTCTCAGGAGGAGAACTTGCAAGCAGCAGCAGCCGATCTACGGGCAAACTTACAGGTCTCATCTTGGTCCTTGGACTATGTCTCTGCACACTGTTTGCTGCCCTATCAGATTTCAGCAGAAGCAGCTTGGGGCTTTTACAAACCTCTTCCATCTTCTGTGATGCTGACTCAAGCTCTTGGTCAAAAAGCAAATGCACTTGGTTGTCTGAAAAAGAAAGTAGCCCATGATTAACACTAGAATCTATAGACAGACACTGGATAACAAAATAATTTTATAAAAGTCCCCAGCATGGTATTCTCAGTTGTCTATGCAGAAGACCTAACTGTTCTTTAAAGACACAGTTTGAATTTAAAAGTTCATTTAAAATTTTATGTAAAAAACAACCACAAAGCATTTACAAATTAGTTAAAAACAGAACAAAGTACAAAAACTACTTGTCTAGTAATTTGTTTTAAAGTGCTCCCAATGAACAGGTATTTTCTAGGTCAAAAGATTCAACAGGCAGACACTGGTGAGTTAACTCAGAAAAGTTACACCACCTCAGGCCAACCGAATGCAGGCGTGCCCTGAACCCTAGGATCTCAGACATCCCACTTGAGCTGTCTTTAGCTCCCTTCGTTCCACAGTGAGAGGGTGCTCGCCACAGCTCTCAGAGCTAACCAACTGTACCACCCACTAGGTCAAACTGAGGATGGAAAACTGGGCTTTAGGTAGAATACTGTCATTCGCAGGTGGTCTCAAGGCCACTCACCCCGAGTCCTCAGCTTTCCATAGCCTGTCTCTTCCAATTCTGCAAAGGTACTGCCCTTGGCCCCCAGCTCCTTGATGCTAACACATAGCAAACGACTGGCACCCTGATACTGTTCTGACTCTGAGTAGCAGCTGGTCATGGCTGTGTGTGTGGCTTGAGTCTTCTGCTCTGTGACACATGCTGGACATGGTATACAGGTGAGTACCAGTGTCACTTGTCAGTCATCAGCTCATCTAACCTCTGTAACCTTTTTATTAAAAAATGAATTATGTGCGTCTGTGTGCATAGATGCTCTCAGAGACAAGGTGCTGGATCCCTCTGGAGCTTGAGCTGAGTTCCGGGCAGCTATGAGCAGCCGGGGTGGGTACTGGGAATTGAATGCAGGTCAACTCAGCAAGCACTCTTACCCGCTGAGCCAGCTCTCCGGCCCCCAGATGACCTTTCTTCCTGAGTTCTTTCCACATTCACAGAGTATCTAGGGACCTGACTTACTGCAGTTGGCCTGCAAGAACCAGAGTGCACGCACTCCTTCGGTTCTGCAACAAGAGTTGCTAGCATAACAGAAAACAGTGTAGGTTCCAGGTCAGCTGCCTGGTCACCTCTTGGTCTTGATCTGCACTGGAAAGGTCACTGTACGGTCCCTACCTGCCTTCACCTGTCACGTAAAAATACATGTGTCTAAGTTATCATGCGGTCTAAACAATCTAACAAAAAAAGTACCTAGAACTATCTTGTATATAATAAATACTAAAAAAAATCCCTTCAAATTATTTATGTTTATTAATATTACTAATTGGGAACCTAATTTCATGGGGTAGTGAAAAAAAAAAAGGTTAGATTTATAAATTAAAATAAAATTAAAATCCTATCTGAATAATTCATTAAGCATATGACTTTTGGTATCGTTTTTCTCCCAGACTGTCAGCTATGAGTTCCTGAATAACCATTCAGAGATTTAATATTAATTACAAACTGTTTGGCCTATTGCTCAGGCTTATTACCAACCAGCTCTTATAACTTAAATTAACCCATTTCTATTCATCTATATTTTGCCACGTGGCTGTGGCGTTACAGGTCCCTGGCATCTTGCTCCTTGGGCAGCTAGATGGTGACTGTTCCCGACTCCACCCTTCTTCTCCCTGTCTCTCTGCTTGGATTTCCTGCCTGGCTCTTATCCTGCCTTGCCATAGGCTAAAGCAGCTTCACTTATTAACTAATGGGAGCAACACATATTCACAGAGTACAAAATGACATCCCACATCACTCTACTCCAAGATACCTTCCCACCAAGGTGAGAAAAACACTCAGCTGTTCTCTCAGGCACTATGGCACAGCTAATGTATGGCATCAAACGGAGAAGTCAGGTAGGTTCCCTTCCTTTCTCAGGCCGTGCTCCCTGATATTTGATTACACATCAAATCTGACCTTTCTGCCAAGCTGGATTACAGAATTACAGTACAAAATGCAAGTATTTTCATCAGCATGACAGCTACCAGTCAACAAAATCAGAGGAAAACTGCTGATGGAGATGTCAGATCAAGCAAATGAATGAGGTACACCTATGTGCCCAGTGCAAAGGTAGTCCACAGGAAAAGCACATAAAAATGTTTGGAGTCTAAACTTTTCCATTTTTAGAACTCTTTTTTTTTGGGGGGGGGCATTGAGACAGGGTTTCTCCATGTAGTTTTGGTGCCTGTCCTGGATTTCAATCTATGGACCAGGCTGGCCTCGAACTCACAGAGATCCGCCTGGCTCTGCCTCCCGAGTGCTGGGATTAAAGGCGTGCGCCACCACCACCCGGCGGTGGCGCATGCCGGCAGTGGCGCATGCCTTTAATCCCAGCAATTGGAAGGCAGAGCCAGGCGGATCTCTGTGAGTTCGAGGCCAGCCTGGACTACCAAGTGAGTTCCAGGAAAGGCGCAAAGCTACACAGAGAAACCCTGTCTCGAAAAACCAAAAAAAAAAAAAAAAAAAAAAAGGCATGCGCCACCACTGCCTAGCTTAAACTCTTTTTAAAAATTAAAACAAGAATTCTTTTTTTTTTTAAGATTTATTTTATACATATGAGTGTTTACTGCTCTACATATGTGCACCCCATGAGTGCCTGGGGCCAGTGAAAGCCAGAAGAGGGCATCAGATCCTCTGAAACCTGAGTTACAGATGGATGTAAGCCACCATGTAGATGCTGGGAATCAAACCTGGGTCCTGTAGCAAGAGCTCTAAACCACTGAGTCATCTTTCCAGCCCACTATGGTTTAATGCCTATCAGCAGTTAAATTTAGCAATACTTTGAATCACATTACAAAACATGTTATCCAGCCGGGCGGTGGTGGCGCACGCCTTTAATCCCAGCACTCGGGAGGCAGAGCCAGGCGGATCTCTGTGAGTTCGAGGCCAGCCTGGTCTACAAAGTGAGTTCCAGGAAAGGCGCAAAACTACACAGAGAAACCCTGTCTCGAAAAACCAAAAAAACAAACAAACAAAAAAAAAACAAAAAAAACAAAACATGTTATCCATTAGCACACTGCTGAAGACTTATCTGCCTTGACTTTAACTGAACATGAAGCAAAAGTTAAAACAAAACAAAATTTTAGCAGGAGCACAAACCCACTTAGGATCTCTAAGGCATTTTTAATAAATGTGAGGGACAGGGCTGGAGAGATGGCTCGGTTGTCAATGCATTAGTCCCACAACAAGGACCAGTATACACTTTCTGAGAGAGAACCCATGTTAATGTTGGGGGTGGGTGGCAGCTTGGCCAGGATTCCAGTCTCAGAAGGCAGATGGTCAGAGCAAGCTGGCTTCCAGGACTAGCCCTATCAGCAAGCCCTGGGTTTGATTAGGAAACACTGCCTTAATAAATCAGGTAGAAGCGAGACCAAAGAAGATTCCTGACACCAACCCTGGCGTCCATATGCATGTCCGCACATACATGAAAAGCATGGATGCACACACAAATGGCAAAACAGAAAAGCAAGGTACACCCAAAAGGCAACTTTCTCAGTGGCTGGCGCAGACTTGGAAGTGACAAAACGTGAAGGTTCGGACCTCCCTTCCTTGGCTTGTGTCTGTCTCTGCAGTACTGGGGGCCGGACCTGGTGCACTCACCTTGGCTTTTAATAATGGTTTATCTGTAAAGTCTCAATTTCGTGCCCATA